ATACACTGATTGTTTAAAGCAAAACTACCAAATCTATTGCTGATGGTGAACCTGAATAATCCAAATAAAATATATTGTAAACCCCATTCAGCAAGTATAGCCAGATGAGTTGTCTCCTGTAGCTTACTTTTATTCCGGTAAAATACAACATTTTTAACAGGGCATAGATAACAATAACCTAGCAAATTACATAGGTTGTCAATCAACTAATAAACCTTAATATCATGCAAGCCATTTTAGCATTTGAATGCTGGAAAGGGCCGCGCAGATGTGCAAGATCAGGAACACGGCGCCTACTTCGCGTTGGTCAGCGCGCGAAACTGGGCACAGTGCATAGTTTGACTAGGCTACTGATATTGCCTGGGGTTGTTCGGCATGCAAAATGACTTGTAGATCAATGACTGTCAACACAATTACATGCAGTTCGACACTGAAAGAGAGGACGCGTCAGTTGTCACAAAATATTAGGTATTTTCAGAAGGTAGAAAGAATTTGATAGGAGCAACAACAACAAAATGTGAACCCGTGATTCGTAACTTTTGAATATAATTTCTGACCGATGCATGCTACCTTTGGGTCGGTTTGAGGTTCTTGGGACCGATGCACTTGTATCTTAGACATTTGAATCTGGGGTGACTCGTTAGGCCTACATCCCTAAGAAAAACGGTAATGCACTTAGCCTATCTGATGTGCACTTTTCAGGAGTTCACTACTGCATGTACCTTCAGTCATAGAGGCCTGCAGAATGATGTCATAAATTAAACATTGAAAACAGTCAGTCATGACTAGCTGCTTCAAGTCATCTGATATTGTCATTTTACGTTCTGTTCAGTTTGCAGCCGAAGTCCTTTTCTGACTGCAATGTTGAAATTGTAGGGACAGATATTCATCTAGATATTTAAACAAAATTACCTTGGGTTCAAATGGGATATTCTGGAAACATCAGAAAGGGCAACGTTTGGTGGTTGCTTGGTCAGATGTCTTGGCCATGAAATCACACATGTTCATCTTCATGCAAGGCGTGGGGGTGGTAAAACAGTATAGGGTCCATCTGGATAGTCTACAACAGCTTCCTCTCCTTGTCTTCTCTCCTTCATTTCGATAGTCTAAAGGAGCTTCCTCACCTCTCCTTCATCAACGCAGATCTGAAAACACATAACAAGGAAAAGCAATGGTGGATACCCTGGGGATTTGATTTAAACTGCCCAGTTCATATCTATGCAGCTGAAGGAAAGGAGACAAGCAGAGGAAGGAAACCACTCCGGACTATTGAATATCGCTGCTTATGCATTATTGTAATCACCTGACACCTTCACAAAACCAAGACCCCTAGTGTGCTCAGTGTTTGGATCTTTATAATTTGTCATAATAATTTGCCCGTTTTCAAACGTGGTGTGGAGGCCCGCATATTATTGTTGTGCTGGATAAGGCTAATTTCCTCTGCAACAGGACTGGGTCATGTTTGCTTTTAGCCATAATAAAGCAATAGATCATTTAATAAAGCAATAAATAAAACAGATGGGCCTAATAGCGGTATTGTACATGAAGCAGCCTATATGCCATTTCATCAATCATTTGGACCTTTTTGTATTAGATTGATTAAAAAATAGAATTATTTCCATATCCAATTAACTTTTTGGGCACGCAAAAAATCTATTAGGCTAATAACATTATGGACTGTGATCTGAAAAGCATGATTATTTTATTCCACTACAGGGAATGGGAATGAACTGGTGTTGTTTCCCTGCATGTTTTACACTCTTGGGTGTACATAACAATGTTTTTGTGATATCTGTACACACCAGGCGATGCGTGAAAACATGGGTTGTGGGTTTACTGGATGTGGTCTGGGTTGGGTCTGGTCACGACATAATGACAGGGTGAGGCTGGCGTTGAGGGGGGCAACATCGCTCCATAGCCCGTGCATTAATCGAGTTGAATCAAGTAATTCAAGCCACTTCGCAGCGGGACGCAAATTCTACAAATATTTTGGTTTTATTCTTGAAATAAACAGTCTGTCCTTTTCGCCATTGGAGGACTGGATGTCAGCGAGTCTTGTCTGTATAGCAAATGGTTAAGATTAAGTTTTCTTCAAATCGCTGAAGCCGAACCAGGAAGAGCAAGGCACATCGCTCAGGCAGCCACCGTCCTCTCTCTCCCTTTCTCTCTATCTCTACTCGCCTGCTCTCCCCAGTACGGAGATCAGTTCAGCCATCACACCAGTCCAGAACTATTTCGACGCATCTCCAGGCATAGTATGACGGAGTGTGTAAGTTAATATCTCTAAAATATTTCGTCCGTAACGGTTTTCGAGTGCGGAGTGTTTAAGTTGCGTTCCGAGCCCGTCCAAAAATGAGTGCAGAACCTATTTTCGCTTCAGCGAACGAAATCCCTTCTGCCTTGCAGAATCGATAGCTGTAGCTTGCTAGCATGCGATATCCATGGGGTTCAGACTAAATAGTGTTAGAATATGTACTTATTTCGATATTATTTTCATAAATGGCATGGAATATGTGTTTGTGGCAGTCTTATTTTGGCCGCGATGTGTTTGGGTCGCCCGTAGCCCTATAGATATAGCAGTTACTTCGGATGCCAGGCTACTCACAGACTTCAAGCGAGCGAGGCGCAGCCTGTCTACTGTATATCGGCCCGATGTCCTCAAGTAGGCTATCGGACGTTTGGTATGTTTGATCAAGTCAAATGGGTCACGAGGGCGAAGCTCAGGTGTTCCAGTTAGTGTTTGAATCGATTTAGATGGACTGTAGACTACCAGAAGACCATTTAATGACAAACAAGCCGAATCGTGTTAGATCTTTTTAATTCTGGCATAGAAAGTGTTCAAAATACCCCTCTGCATCAGTTCAAAACACCTTACCCTGTACGGGTGTATTTTGGGCAAGTTGTCGGTCCCCTTGTCTTAGCCCCCATATCTCACATAGTGTTAAGGTGTAATTACATAGGTTAATGCCTGCTCATGGAAATAATTGTGTTTAATTGCATTTGTCTAAATGTGGAGTAGCTTGCACAGAGACATGGTAGGCAAGATACAGTAGCTAGATACGTTTATTAGGTGTCTGTGTTAATAGCCTGTAGGCTAGGCTACACAGGACATGGCTGTTTTGTTTTGTAACTTGTTTGCTGAATGAAGCCAGTGGCAGTGGGCTCTACTTCCATGTAACAATTATTTGATACAAACATTATGTCATGTTGTCTAACTGGTTTCTGCTGATTTAGAATGCTTGCTGTATGTAGAATGTTTGCTGAAATATACTGAACAAAAATATAAACGCAACATGCAACAATTTCAAAGATGTTACTGAGTTACAGTTCATAGAAGGAAATCTTACAGTTCATAGAAGGAAATCGGTCAATTAAAATAAATTCATTAGGCCCAAATCTATGGATTTCACATGACTGGGCAGGGGTGCAGCAATGAGTGTGCCTGGGAGGGCATAGGTCCACCCTCTGGGGAGCCAGGTCCAGCCAATCAGAGTAGGTTTTTCTCCCACAAAAGGTTGTGAGGCCAGTTGGATGTACTGCCAAATTCTCTAAAACGACGTTGGAGACAGTTTATGGTCGAGAAATGAACATGCAATTCTCTGGCAACAGCTTTGTTGGTGATTCCTGCAGTCAGCATGCCAATTACACGCTCCCTCAAAACTTGAGACATCTGTGACATTTTGTTGTGTGACAAAACTTCACATTTTACAGTAGCCTTTTATTGTCCCCAGCACAACTTTCACCTGTGTAATGATCATGCTGTTTAATCAGCTTCTTGATATGCCACACCTGTCCGGTGGATGGATTATCTTGGCAAAGGAGAAATGCTCACTAACACGGATGTAAACAAATTTGTGCACAAGATTTGAGAGAAAAAAGCTTTTTGTGCGTATGGAAAATTTCTGGGATCTTTTATTTCAGCTCATGAAAAATGGGACCAACACTTTACATGTTGTGTTTATATTTTTGTTCAGTATAGAATGTCTGATGGATTCGAATGTCTGGTAAATTAGATTGTCTGTTTAGAATGCCAAAAGGTGTCAGAACATTGTCCCTGTGCAGATGGAATTCTTGACCTCTCACAAGATCTCATAAGGAAGGAGTCATGTTTTGACTATTTTTCATTTGTTTTGAGTGCGTTGGCATGCACTTCAGTTTTGCTGCATTCCTTTTTTTGTTCCTTATTTTTATTGTTTAGCACGATGGATTGGCAACTGGCGGCCTGCGGATCAATTAAATAGATAACGGCAATATTTATTATCTATTTTCCATGATTTATTGACAACATTATACATGTGTGTGTATAGGGTATTTCATTTTATTGTTCATAATGTGGACATAATTAGTAGTTTTTTTCAGCTTCAGTACAAAATCTCAAACACGTAGGACATCGTCAATAACCATCAATAGGCCTACTGTTGGACGTTGAGAATCATATCTCTTGTAATGGCTGTATGGATTCTTCAAAAGGCACATTCATCACTTTTAGAGCGTTTGTCTGTGACAAATTTTTTTTCTGATTCTACCGAACTATTGATTAAGACGTGTTTGACTTTGAATTAAGGTAGGAATGTATCCCTAATGGATAAGATGGTAGAATGGATTTTAGGCACGTTTGAATACACAGTTCTGTCTCTGGTGATTGTTTGTTTGTTTGGTGTGAATATGGATAAGATGGTATGCAGTATTCTGTGGTATGCGGCTCCTGTTGGCCTGGTTTTATTTCAGACCCTAAGCGCTTTCCCTAGGGCCCCTACCACTTCAATGTTTACCGAACTGTAAGAAATGGATAGGAGAGTATGAGTAAGCAGTATAATGATGTTCCATCAAGCCTTCCAAGACGCTTTGCTCCATAAGTGGAGATTCTATAGTGCTTTCATCTGTCCAGTGTTTTCAGATGAGTAGAAGGGTTAGGATAAGGAACTAGAGATCTAAATTGAACCGGGCCGTACTTTTATATTAGTGAAACCTGAAGGGGTATGTACATATGTTTGGAATATATGTGGAAGAGGTTAGGCGATAGGCTAGGGATTGAAAAGGTACCAGGGTTTATAGGAGTGACATTAACAGTGCATCTCTCCTCCCCAGGCCCAGTGGTGCAGCATGTGATGACCCACACCTGGAACAAAGGTTCCCTCAGCCAGAGCCGCAGCACAGGGTGGCGGGAACACTGCCCCCATAGGCCACATGGTGAGACCATGGGTGGGGCCTGGCCTGAGCGCACGCTGCGATTTGGCAGGACCATGAAGAAGCGCGGGACCAAGCGAGGAAGGGGAGGGGTTAAAGAGATGATGGACAAGAGGGAGAAGACTCCGGAGCGGAATAGGAGGCGAAGCAGGAAATCATATCCCTTACGAGGAAGGGGAGGGGCTTCAGAGGAAGAGGGACTTAGCTGTCACGTTTTACTCACCCGGTTGGAGGAGGACATCCGGGAGCAGGAGGACACCAGTGAGAGGGGGAATGATTCGCCCAGCCAACCGCCGGTCAAACCTGAATCCCGGTGCAAGAAACTGGGCAAAGGAAAAGGCAAGGCCAAGGGGAAACTCCTGGCGAAGAAGATGATACCCAAAACTAAATCAAAAACCACCAGTGATGTGCAGGAGTCGCCGTTTCCAGAGCCACGTAAGCGACGGCTAGCTTCTCTCAACGCTGAGGCGGTGAACAGTCTACTGTTGGAGAGACCCAACGAGACCCAGCTGGCTGCCAAACAGGCCAGGAGACAGCAGGAGGAGCCCTCCAGCGGTGAGTCAACCCTGGGGACAGATCCAGCTAGGGGAGGGGTGGCTGGAGGTCCTAAAGCTCCAAGAGCCAGCAGCAGCAAGGCCTCCACATCGCACAAGCCTGAACTGTGTCGACGCTCCAAAAAAGCCAAGAAAGTCTCCAAGAAACTGGCCAAACCAGACAGAGGAGAGAAGAAAGAGACAGGGATGATGACTCTACAGATGTTACACGCCCCTGCTCCTCGGCGGCTAGCCGGACTCAACGCTGCTGCGCTGCTAAAGTTAACGAGCACCTCCGCGACTAGCAAACAGCGAGTGAAAACAACATCAACTACGACGACCGACTGCAAGACTACGAGCGCCGCATCAGTTGATGTGACGCAGAAGCAACCGCGACTGAATCTTAAACAGTGTGGCCGCCAGCCTAAGCCGAAGGGAAGGAAGTTGATTCCAGAACAGGGAGGCTGTTCAGCCTGCAAGAAGTCCAACTTTGAGCCCAAAGTGGAGTGGGAGTCTGGAGGTTGCACCCATCGGCTAACCAAACCAGGCTACCAGTCGTGCAGCATGCTAGCCTACCCGCTGAAGCCTGTTGTCAAAGAGGAGCAGGTGGAGGCAGAGCTGAGCCCGTACTACTGCTGCCCTCCAGAGGGCTCTGTGGAGTACTGCCACCGCCTAGCATTGTTCCTGGGTCAGAAGGCCTATGCCGACTCAGAAGAACGACCTTTAAACTCTGCCATGACCTCTGTGAAGCAGGAGTGCCTGGTGACATCGCCCTCCATGGCCCACCCTCACTCCCATGCAGCCCTGACCCTCAGCCCCCACCCCTGTCTCTGCACCGCTGACCCCGCCTGCTTCTCCAGCTACTACGTCCACATCGCACACCCCGGAGCAACGTCGACCACCCTCAGCTCGCGACCTCTGAACTTTGGCCCCTCGACAATGTGTCCCGGCAGGGTGTCTGGCTCCAAGCTGCTGGGTCCTCCGGTGTCCCACACCTCGACGCTGGCCCAACCTGCCTTCTGTGGCTCAGTGGGCTCGCCCTGCTACAGCGAGGCCTGCCGGGTCAGCGGCTACACCTACAGAGCCATGCAGCCGGTCAACAGCAGGCGGTGTTCTTTCTCCACAGGCTGCTCCGGGTTAACACACGGCATCAAGACAGGTAAGACAGGTATGCCTACTGACTAGGCCCTATATGCTGATTTAAATGTTTCAGCATAGACCAGCCTTCGTTGTTTTTTCGCTGGTGACCAGCCTTTGTTGTGCTTTTGCTGGGGACCAGCCTTTGCTGTGTTTTCACAAGTGACCAGCCTTCGTTGTGGTTTTGATGGGTACCATAAATTAGCATATTTGGGGAGCATGGTCTAATCAGGGTTTCCGTTAGTAAAATGTGGTGGCGGACAACGTCACAGGGAAGATTTTAATTTACAGGCTATTTCAGAAATTTACCGGACACATATGCATTTACTGGATCCATATGTAACCCATTAGGGCGTCCACCCACGGTGCTCAGAATGAAAGAAATCACATTTCGACTATGGTAATTAATCTTAACCGAACATGCAACTCCTGTAATGAAGCAGCCAATAAAAAGTCATTTTCAAACATTTGCCAAAATGTTAAAACAGCGCACTTGATGAGAGTGGTTCCAAATGTGACAGAGATTAAAATCCCTGTTAGAGTTTCAAGTTTGGAGAACCTTACAATTTATCCTACAATTTCTACCGATCTGCCAGTTATGATGTTCATATGCGCATTTCCGTGGAACATTTTCATTTAAATAATAACGTTTTCTCTAACTCTGTCACATGGTTAATCATAAAAATCTGAATTAAAATGGTAAACTAATGTAAGAGCACCAGCCTCAGCCATATGGACGCATTGATACACCGTGATCCATTGGCGGCTAAAGAAATGAGTGCATGGAACTCATAGCCTTTAGGTCAATGCAGCAGTGGGCCTATAACTTCCATTGTCAACTAAGTCAAAATACATAAAGCCGACAAATAAAACCAGTAGAAAATAAGATAAATTCAGGCTCTTTCAATTTCATTAATCTCTCTTCTCAGCCTGTCTGCCTCCCTTTCTATATGTCTTGAGATACTATTTCTATCAATTCCTCATTACATATGTTTACTACTGGTGACATACAGTGCCTTGCAAAAGTATTCATCCCCCTTGGCGTGTTTCCTATTTTGTTGCATTACAACCTGTAATTGAAATTGATTTTTATTTGCATTTCATGTAATGGACATACACAAAATAGTCCAAATTGTAGTCCAAATTGGTATAACGGAAAAGTGGTGCGTGCATATGTATTCACCCCCTTTGCAATGAAGCACCTAAATAAGATCTGGTGCAACCAATTACCTTCAGAAGTCACATAATTAGTTAAATAAAGTCCACCTGTGTGCAATCTAAGTGTCATATGATCTGTCACATGATCTCAGTATATATACACCTGTTCTGAAAGGCCCCAGAGTCTGAAACACCACTAGGCAAGGGACACCACTAAGCAAGCGGCACCATGAAGACCAAGGAGCTCTCCAAACAGGTCAGGGACAAAGATGTGGAGAAGTACAGATCAGGGTTGGGTTATAAAAAAATATCAGAAACTTTGAACATCCCACGGAGCACCATTAAATCCATTATTAAAAAATTGAAAGAATATGGCACCACAACAAACCTCCCAAGAGAGGGCCGCCCACCAAAACTCACGGACCAGGCAAGGAGGGCATTAATCAGAGAGGCAACAAAGAGACCAAAGATAACCCTGAAGGAGCTGCAAAGCTCCACAGCGGAGATTGGAGTATCTGTCCATAGGACCACTTTAAGCTGTACACTCCACAGAGCTGGGCTTTACGGAAGAGTGGCCAGAAAAAAGCCATTGCTTAAAGAAAAAAATAAGCACACACATTTGGTGTTTGCCAAAAGGCATGTGGGAGACTCCCCAAACATATGGAAGAAGGTACTCTGGTCAGATGAGACTAAAATTGAACTTTTTGGCCATCAAGGAAAACACTATGTCTGGCGCAAACCCAACACCTCTCATCACCTGAGAACACCATCCCCACAGTGAAGCATGGTGGTGGCAGCATCATGCTGTGGGGATGTTTTTCATCGGCAGGGACTGGGAAACTGGTCCGAATTGAAGGAATGATGGATGGCGCTAAAATACAGGGAAATTCTTGAGGGAAACCTGTTTCAGTCTTCCAGAGATTTGAGACTGGGACGGAGGTTCACCTTCCAGCAGGACAATGACCCTAAGCATACTGCTAAAGCAACACTTGAGTGGTTTAAGGGGAAACATTTAAATGTCTTGAAATGGCCTAGTCAAAGCCCAGACCTTAATCCAATTGAGAATCTGTGGTATGACATAAAGATTGCTGTACACCAGCGGAACCCATCCAACTTGAAGGAGCTGGAGCAGTTTTTCCTTGAAGAATAGTTATGCACGCGCAAGTTTTCAGTATTTTTTTGTCTTATTTCTTGTTTGTTTCACAATAAAAAATATTTTGCATCTTCAAAGTGGTAGGCATGTTGCGTAAATGATACCAACCCCCAAAAAATCCATTTTAATTCCAGGTTGTAAGGCAACAAAATAGGAAAAATGCCAAGGGGGGTGAATACTTTCGCAAGGCACTATGTAATGGGGAATTTATCAAAATAAACAATCAAAGGGCAAACAATTCACACAATGAAACAATGAATGCGCAAGATTTGACAACTCAATAATCAGCTAGGCCTATTGCCATTTAGGGCTCCCGAGTGGCGCAGCGGTCTAAGGCACTGCATCTCAGTGCTTGAGGCGTCACTACAGACCCCCTGGTTCGATTCCAGGCTGTATCACAACTGGCCGTGATTGGGAGTCCCATAGGGCGGCGCACTCGGGAGCCCCGGCGCGCAGGTGTAGGCCATCATTGTAAATAAGAATTTGTTCTTAACTGACTTGCCTAGTTAAATAAAGGTAAACAATTAAATAAAGAAATATGCTCTGTCAAAATTGTGAGCTTTCCAAATAGGCAAGTTTGTGATTTGAAACAATCCGCAGCTATAAAAAATAAAAAAAATCGATTGATTCTCAATTCCTCTGTGGCTATGTCATGCTTTCTGGTGAAGTATTTTGAGGTATTTTATTTATTTCTGTAAAGACAGGAGTAATTGTATAATTTTGGCAAATTTATTTCAATTTACTTCCCTAGCATATTCGACGTGCCGCCACTGAAAGACTTCCTCATATGCCATTTCTCTCCTGTTCTATTGGTTTTTATATAAACTTTATTTTGTTGTCCAGAAGCCAAAGGCACAATCTTAGTCATATTAATTTCCGTAGATTTTCAAGCCAATTGAAGTCAAAACTATAACTATGCCACTCAGGAACATTCAATGTTGTTTTGGTATGCAACTCCAGTATAGATTTGGCCTTGTGTTTTAGGTTATTGTCCTGCTGAAAGGTTAATTTGTCTCACAGTGTCTGATGGAAATCAGACTGAACCAGGTTTTCCTTTAGGATTTTGCCTGTGCTAAGCTCTATTCCGTTTCTTTTTATCCTAAAAAACTCCCTAGTCCTTGCAGATGGCAAGCGTACCCATATCATGATGCAGCCACCAATATACTTGAAAATATGAAAAGTGGTACTCAGTGATGTGTTGGATTTGCCACAAACATAACGCTTTGTATTCAGGACATAAAGTTAATTTCTTTGCCACATTTTTTGCAGTTTTCCTTTAGTGCCTTTCACTCTGTCATTTAGTTTAGTATTGTGGAGTAACTACAATGTTGTTGATCCATCCTCAGTTTTCTCCAATAACTGTTTTAAAGTCACCATTGGCCTCATGGTGAAATCCATGAGCGGTTTCCTTCCTCTCCGGCAACTGAGTTAGGAAGGACGCCTGTGTCTTTGTAGTGACTGGGTGTATTGATACACCATCCAAAGTGTAATTAATAACTTCACCATACTCAAAGGGATATTCAATGTCTGCTTTTTCTATTTTTACCAATCTACCAATATATGCTCTTATTTGGAAAACCTCCCTGGTGTTTGTGGTTGAATCTGTGTTTGAAATTCACTGCTCAACTGAGTCCATGCAATTTATTATGTGACTTGTTAAGCACATTTTTACTCCTAAAGTTATTTAGGCTTGCCACAACAATGGGGTTGAATACTTATTGACATTTTAGCTTTTCATTTTTTATTAATTTGTAACAATTTCTAAAAACATAATTCCACTTTGACATTTTGGGGTATTGTGTGTAGGCCAGTTACCCAAAATCTCAATGTAATACCTTTTTTCATTCAGACTGTAACACAACAATATGTGGAAAAAGTCAATGGGTGTGAATAGGCCTGCTTTCTGAAGGCACTGTACGTAGAATCTAAATGGGTTCCCCTACAGGGACAAAACGAAGGTTCTACATGGCACTCAAAAGGGTTCCCCCATAGGGACAAATGATTGGAACCAATAGACATTCTATCTTTTAACAATCTTTATCGTACCCACTGATACAGTGGTGAAGCAGGAAATTCAGGTCGCTGGCAACCGAGACGTTCAGTTCAAATCCCAAGTGAGGTTGACTCCCAAGTTATTAGAATTTTGCTGGTATGCAAAACCACGCCCATCATAATCATATTTCCCAGCATGCTCTATTGCAGTTTGCTTTTTAGAATTGTTTGTTTCAGTATCTGTGGTTTTGCATGTACAGGGAGGGACAAAAGTATTTGATCCCCTGCTGATTTTGTACGTTTGCCCACTGACAAAGACATGATCAGTCTATAATTTTAATGGTAGGTTTATTTGAACAGTGAGAGACAGAATAACACCACAAAAATCCAGAAAAATGCATGTAAAAAATGTTATAAATTGATTTGCATTTTAATGAGGGAAATAAGTATTTGACCCCTCTGCAAAACATGACTTAGTACTTGGTGGCAAAACCCTTGTTGGCAATCACAGTGGTCAGATGTTTCTTGTAGTTGGCCACCAGGTTTGCACACATCTCAGGAGGGATTTTGTTCCACTCCTCTTTGCAGATCTTCTCCAAGTCATGAAGGTTTCGAGGCTGACGTTTGGCAACTCGAACCTTCAGCTCGCTCCAAAGATTTTCTATGGGATTAAGGTCTGGAGACTGGCTAGGCCACTCCAGGACCTTAATGTGCTTCTTCTTGAGCCACTCCTTTGTTGCCTTGGCCGTGTGTTTTGGGTCATTGTCATGCTGGAATACCCATCCACGACCCATTTTCAATGCACTGGCTGAGGGAAGGAGGTTATCACCCAAGATTTGACGGTACATGGCCCGTCCATCGTCCCCTTTGATGCGGTGAAGTTGTCCTGTCCCCTTAGTAGAAAAACACCCCCAAAGCATAATGTTTCCACCTCCATGTCTGATGGTGGGGATGGTGTTCTTGGGGTCATAGGCAGCATTCCTCCTCATCCAAACACAGCGAGTTGAGTTGATTCCCAAGAGCTCGATTTTGGTCTCATCTGACAACACTTTCACCCAGTTCTCCTCTCAATCATTCAGATGTTTATTGGCAAACTTCAGACGGCCCTGTATATGTGCTTTCTTGAGCAGGGGGACCTTGCGGGCGCTGCAGGATTTCAGTCCTTCACGGCGTAGTGTGTTACCAATTGTTTTCTTGGTGACTATGGTTCCAGCTGCCTTGAGATCATTGACAAGATCCTCCCGTGTAGTTCTGAATGATTCAAATCAAATCAAATTTTATTGGCCACATGCGCTGAATACAACAGGTGCAGACATTACAGTGAAATGCTTACTTACAGCCCTTAACCAACAGTGCATTTATTTTTATCAAAAAAGTAAAAATAAAACAACAACAACAAAAAAAGTGTTGAGAAAAAAAGAGCAGAAGTAAAATAAAATAACAGTAGGGAGGCTATATATACAGGGGGGTACCGGTGCAGAGTCAATGTGCGGGGGCACCGGCTAGTTGAGGTAGTTGAAGTAATATGTACATGTGGGTAGAGTTAAAGTGACTATGCATAAATAATTAACAGAGTAGCAGCAGCGTAAAAGGATGGGGTGGGGGGGCAGTGCAAATAGTCCGGGTAGCCATGATTAGCTGTTCAGGAGTCTTATGGCTTGGGGGTAGAAGCTGTTGAGAAGTCTTTTGGACCTAGACTTGGCACTCCGGTACCGCTTGCCGTGCGGTTGCAGACAGAACAGTCTATGACTAGGGTGGCTGGAGTCCTCACCGTTCTCATGATCATTGCAACTCCACGAGGTGAGATCTTGCATGGAGCCCCAGGCCGAGGGAGATTGACAGGTATTTTGTGTTTCTTCCATTTGCGAATAATCGCACCAACTGTTGTCACCTTCTCACCAAGCTGCTTGGCGATGGTCTTGTAGCCCATTCCAGCCTTGTGTAGGTCTTCAATCTTGTCCCTGACATCCTTGGAGAGCTCTTTGGTCTTGGCCATGGTGGAGAGTTTGGAATCTGATTGATTGATTGCTTCTGTGGACAGGTGTCTTTTATACAGGTAACAAACTGAGATTAGGAGCACTCCCTTTAAGAGTGTGCTCCTAATCTCAGCTCGTTACCTGTATAAAAGACACCTGGGAGCCAGAAATATTTCTGATTGAGAGGGGGTCAAATACTTAATTTCCCTCATTAAAATGCAAATCAATTTAACATTTTTGATATGCGTTTTTCTGGATTTTTTTGTTGTTATTCTGTCTCACACTGTTCAAATAAACCTACCATTAAAATTCTAGACTGATAATTTCTTTGTCAGTGGGCAAACGTACAAAATCAGCAGGGGATCAAATACTTTTTTCCCTCACTGTACATTGATTGATTAATTAATCTATTGATATATCTTATGCTATACAAAGATAAATAACATACATATTTCTAAACTAATCCAATCTGTTAGTTGGTTGTTCCAGTTTAGATGGTTCAGGTAGTCTCATTTATTCATTTTTCTAACCCTGGCAGTCATTCTGAATGCAGATTATGGGAATCCACTCTGGCTGAATTCCAATAGGAGTTAAACCTCACTTTTCAAGCCAGCATAATGTGATTTGATGCTGGTTTTGCTTTAGCTTATGCTGGTCACCAGCGAAAACACAACGAAGGCTGGTCACCAGCGAAAACACAACGAAGGCTGGTCCGCCAGAATAACCAGCTAGAGCATGCTGGTCAGACCAGCTTGACCGTGCTGGTCTGCTAGCAGAACCAGTTTGAAATGTATGCTGGTCTATGCTGTTTTTTTCAGCAGGGCTGTTCTTCCTCCCTTCTCTCTTTCTCTCTCTCTCTCTCTCTCCCTCTCCAGAGGGTTACTCCTCCCCCAAAGGCGACCACAGCCCCTCCCTCCTGGTCTCCCCCTCCCTCCCCCTCTCGGGCTGCCCCCTCCCCACCACCCCCTCCTCCACCCAGGCCAAGCCCCATCTCCTCACCCCCCTGTCTGACCGCAGCGTGCCCCAGGCTAGACTGAAGCTGGCCAGGGAGTGCCCTCAGAGCACCAAGCCACCTAACGGCTATCTGTCCATGGGGAGAACCAGCCTGTCGCAGAAACAGCCAGCCCCGACACCCTGCTTGTCCCCCGCCAAGCAGAAGAGGGTCAGCCACCGACGGGCCACCAACGGGTGGCTGCCTGTAGGAGTGCCCACGGAGAAAGAAGTGTTCATTGCGGTGGGTTGGATCAAGAGTTTGTGTGTGTATGTGTTGAGGTACTGACAATTTTCTTCCCTCATACTACCATGGCAACCTGACCATTCCTAGCTTTCAATTGGTTTATTGTTGTTAACCCTATCAGTCCAGAGACCTCAGCAAAAATGAACATTTCATTTATCTGACTTTCATTTATCTGCATGTCCAGCCCTTGTATTTAGCCTCACAATTAAGTGTTATACCATTTTCTTTTCAGGACAACCAGGGCTACAAGTAGAACACAAAACAATTTGACAAAAACAGCTGTATTCATTAGTTTTATTGACAAATGTCACATCAACAAAAAAAGATCAGCCTAAGCAAAAACCTGATAAAAATGGATTTATATGAATGCTGTAAGTACAGAAATGATTTGCTCACTGGGTAATGAATATCCAACTACTCAGTAACAACTGTGTGGAGTTTGGCGTTTGTGACAGCAACTATGTGAGCTTATTACAGTATTATAGACACTATGTCCTGGGATTTCCTATCTTCTATGTTGAAAAACCCCTTACCTTCTAACGACTCTTGTGTAGCTTGTGAAAGTCCTAGAGCAAAACATGTTACGTATTCGTGTTCGTGAGAGTCTCAGCTTTTCATAGATACAGTGCATTCAGAAAGTATTCAGACCCCTTCTCTTTTTCTACATTTTGTTACGTTACAGCCTTATTCTAAAATTGATTAAATAAACAAGATTCCTCTTCAATCTACACACAATACCCCATAATGACAAAATATATTTTTGCTAATGTATTAAAAATAAAAAACAGAAATACCTTATTTATATAAGTATTCAGACCCTTTGCTATTAGACTCGAAATTGAGCTCAGGCGCATCCTGTTTCCATTGATCATCCTTGATGTTTCTTCAACTAGGAGTCCACCTTTGGTAAATTTAATTCATTGGGCATGATTTGGAAAGGCACACACCCGTCTATATAAGGTCCCACAGTTGACAGTGCATGTCAGAGCAAAAACCAAGCCATGAGGTCGAAGGAATTGTCCGTAGAGCTCTGAGACAGGATTGTGTCGAGGCACAGATCTGGGGAAGGGTACCAACACATTTCTGCCGTATTGAAGGTCCCCAAGAACACAGTGGCCTCCATCATTCTTAAATGGAAGAAGTTTGGAACCACCTAGACTTCCTAGAGCTGGCCGCCCGGCCAAACTGAGTAATCGGGGGAGAAGGGCCTTGGTCAGGGAGGTGAACCCGATGGTCACTCTGACAGAGCTCCAGAGTTCCTTTGTGGAGATGGGAGAACCTTCCAGAAGGACAACCATCTCTGCAGTACTCCACCAATCAGGCCTTTATGGTAGAGTGGCCAGACGGAAGCCACTCCTCAGTAAAAGGCACATGACAGCCCGCTTGGAGTTTGCCAAAAGGCACTTAAAGGACTCTCAAACCATGAGAAACAAGATTCTCTGGTCTGATGAAACCACAATTGAACTCTTTGGCCTGAATGCCAAGCGTCACATCTGGAGGAAACCTGGCACCATCTCTACAGTGAAGCATGGTGGTGGCAGCATCATGCTGTGGGGATGTTTTTCAGCGGCAGGGACTGGAAGACTAGTCCGGATCAGGGGAAAGATGAACAGAGCAAACTACAGAGAGAGCCTTGATGAAAACCTGCTCCAGAACGCTCAGGACCTCAGACTGGGTAAAAGGTTCAACTTCCAACAGGACAACGACCCTAAGCACACAGCCATGACAACGCAGGAGTGGCTTCGGGACAAGCCTCTGAATGTCCTTTAGTGGCCCAGCCAGAGCACGGACTTGAACCCGATCGAACATCTCTGGAGAGACCTGAAAATAGCTGTGCAGCAACGCTCCCCATCCAACCTGACAGAGCGTGAGCAGATCTGTAGAGATGAATGGGAGAAACTCCCCAAATACAAGTGTGCCAAGCTTCATACCCAAGAAGATTGGAGGCTGTAATCGCTGCTAAAGTTTTATTTTATTATTTATTTTATTTTATTTACCCTTTATTTAACCAGGTAAGCCAGTTGAGAACAAGTTCTCATTTACAACTGCGACCTGGCCAAGATAAAGCAAAGCAGTGCGATAAAAAACAACAACAACAGAGTTACATATGGGATAAACAAAACGTACAGTCAAAAACACAGTAGAAAATCTATATACAGTGTGTGCAAATGTAGTAAGTTATGGAGGTAAGGAAATAAATAGGCCATAGTGCAAAATAATTACAATTTAGTATTAACACTGGAATGATAGATGTGCAGAAGATGATGTGCAAATAGAGATACTGGGGTGCAAATGAGCAAAATAAATAACAATATGGGGATGAGGTAGTTGGGTGGGCTAATTACAGATGGGCTGTGTACAAGTGCAGTGATCGGTAAGCTGCTCTGACAACTGATGCTTAAAGTTAGTGAGGGAGATAAGATTCTCCAGCTTCAGAGATTTTTGCAGTTCGTTGCAGTCATTGGCAGTAGAGAACTGGAAGGAATGGCGGCCAAAGGAGGTGTTGGCTTTTGGGATGACCAGTGAGATATACTTGCTGGAGCGCATACTACGGGTGGGTGTTGCTATGGTGACCAATGAGCTAAGATAAGGCGGGGATTTGCCTAGCAGTGATTTATAGATGACCTGGAGCCAGTGGGTTTGGCGACGAATATGTAGTGAGGGCCAGCCATCGAGAGCGTACAGGTCACAGTGGTGGGTAGTATATGGGTCTTTGGTGACAAAACGGATGGCACTGTGATAGACTACATCCAATTTGCTGAGTAGAGTGTTGGAGGCTATTTTGTAAATGACATCGCCGAAGTCAAGGATTGGTAGGATAGTCAGTTTTACGAGGGCATGTTTGGCAGCATTAGTGAAGGAGGCTTTGTTGCGAAATAGGAAGCCGATTCTAGATTTAATTTTGGATTGGAGATGCTTAATGTGAGTTTACGGTCTAACCAGACACCTAGGTATTTGTAGTTGTCCACATATTCTAAGTCAGACCCGCCGAGAGTAGTGATTCTAGTCGGGTGGGTGGGTGCAAGCAGCGTTCGATTGAAGAGCATGCATTTAGTTTTACTAGTGTTTAAGAGCAGTTGGAGGCCACGGAAGGAGTGTTGTATGGCATTGAAGCTCATTTGGAGGTTTGTTAACACAGTGTCCAATGAAGGGCCAGATGTATACAAAATGGTGTTGTCTGCGTAGAGGTGGATCTGAGAGTCACCAGCAGCAAGAGCGACATCATGGATATACAGAGAGAATAGAGTCTGCCCGAGAATTGAACCCTGTGGCACCCCCATAGAGACTGCCAGAGGTCCAGACAGGTGCTTCAACAAAGTACTTATTAAAGGGTCTGAATACTTATGTCAATTTGATTTTTCAGTTTTATACATTTGCAAACATTTCTAGAAACCTGTTTTTGCTTTGTCATTATGTGTTATTGTGTGTAGATTGAAGAGGGGAAAAAAACAATGTAATCCATTTTAGAATAAGGCTGTAACGTAACAAAATGTGGAAAAAGTCAAGGGGTCTGAATACTTTCCGAATGCACCGTAGCTTTGTAGCTAAAACCATTTGGACTCTACAGACGTTTTTGTAAAAAGACCCAGCCCCGGGCCCCTTCGGGATCCACCCTGGTCTCACAAACACCACTCTAGCTCAGCCCCCGTCACACAGACTGATAATGGTTGGTATCTACAGATGCAAAATAAATAGACGAATGCAATGGCACACCCCATGTAGCTCAAAGACATGATGTTTAAAGGAGGTTAGTAGTCCAATACGAGCCAGTGTTACAGTGGGACTCATTGGGTTAAAGGGTTGGTAGCATAAACTTAAAGTTAAATCGCTCCGCCATTTCCTGGTTGCTAAAATTCTAATAGTTTGCCTAATTTCAGTTTGTGACAAAACAAGCAATCATTGTACCATCTAAACCGCTGTTAAATATATTTTATATAACCACAAATATTGTATTTTCAGCTGTTTGAAGCTGGTGTACAAAACCAAAAGTAAAAGATACGAAACTTAAGAACGGGAAGCATAGAAATAGCACACATACGACAGATCTTCTGCTTCTGAGACTTGCTTTCAATGATAATGACATTTGGTCGGGTTGCATCAAAAAATGACATATTGCAGATTTAACTACATGTAACATATGGATTTGCATTAGTACATACATCAAAAGTCCATATGCAAAGTTACACGTCACTTTTCTATTTTTCAAGTTATTATATTAAACTCCAGAAATTCCAAAGAATGCCGAAGTCATATCGGAAAATGTTTTTCCGGGGTGTGATATGGAGGACCCGGCATGCCAGATCATTTCCTATAATGTAAACTCCAACAGAAATAGCTTCAAATGTATAACTTCAAATTTTACCAAATCATTTGCACTCATGACTACTGGTTTCAATTTAATTTTCAACCAATTTACAAGCAAATAATTTATGAATGTACACTACCGGTCAAAAGTTTTAGAACACCTAGTCATTCAAGGGTTTTTCTTTATTTTTACTATTTTCTACATTGTGGAGTGATAGTGAAGACATCAAAACTATGAAATGACACATATGGAATCATGTAGTAACCAAAAAGTGTTAAACAAATCAAAATATATTTTATATTTGAGATTCTTCAAATAGCCACCCTTGATGACAGCTTTGCACGCTCTTGGCTTTCTCTCAACCAGCTTCACCTGGAATGCTTTTCCAACAGTCTTGAAGGGTTTCCCACATATGCTGAGCACTTGTTGGCTGCTTTTCCTTCTCTCTGTGGTCTGACTCATCCCAAACCATCTCAATTTGGTTGAGGTCGGGGGATTGTGGAGGCCAGGTCATCTGATGCAGCACTCCATCACTCTCCTTCTTGGTAAAATAGCCCTTACACAGCCTGGAGGTGTGTTGGGTCATTGTCCTGTTGAAAATCAAATGATAGTCCCACTAAGACCAAACCAGAAGGGATGGTGTATCGCTGCAGAATGCTGTGGTAGCCATGCTGGTTAAGTGTGCCTTGAATTCTAAATAAATCACTGACAGTGTCACCAGCAAAGCACCCCCACACCATAACACCTCCTCCTCCATCCTTTACGGTGGGAAATACACATGCGGAGATCATCCGTTCACCCACACCGGTTGGAACCAAAAATCTCAAATTTGGACTCCAGACCAAACGACAAATTTCCACCGGTCTAATGTCCATTGCTCGTGTTTCTTGGCCCAAGCAAGTCTCTTCTTCTTATTGGTGTCCTTTAGTAATGGTTTCTTTGCAGCAATTCGACCATGAACACAGTCTCCTCTGAACAGTTGATGTTGAGATGTGTCTGTTACTTTAACTCTGAAGCATTTATTTGGGCTGCAATTTCTGAGGCTGGTAACACTAATGATCTTATTCTCTGCAGCAGAGGTAACTCTGGGTCTTCCATTCCTGTAGCGGACTTCATGAGAGCCAGTTTCATCATAGCGCTTGATGGTTTTTGCAGCTGCACTTGAAGAAACTTTAAAAGTTCTTGAAATGTTCCGTATTGACTGACCTTCATGTCTTAAAGTAATGATGGACTGTCGTTTCTCTTTGCTTATTTGAGCTGTTCTTGCCATAATATGGACTTGGTCTTTTACCAAATAGGGCTATCTTCTGTATACCACCCCTACCTTGTCACAACACAACTGATTGGCTCAAACACATTAAGAAGGAAAGAAATTCCACGAATTAACTTTTAACAAGGCACACCTTTTAATTGAAATGCATTCCAGGTGACTACCTCATGAAGCTGGTTGAGAGAATGCCAAGAGTGTGCAAAACTGTCATCAAGGCAAAGGTTGGCTACTTTGAAGAATCTCAAATATAAAAACTTTTTTGGTTACTACATGATTCCATATATGTTATTTCATAGTTTTGATGTCTTCACTATTATTCTACAATGTAGAAATTTGTAAAAATAAAGAACAACCCTTGAATGAGTAGGTGTTCTAAAACTTTGGACCGGTAGTGTATTGTTACAAATCAACTTGCAAGCCAACTATCCTGCCAACGTTAGCCCTACCAGCCTGCTAACGTTAGCCCTACCGTGACGTTAGCACTGCATGAGTCTGCCAGTTGCTATCAACACCTAGCTTACAGCAACATTAAAGTAAACCAACGTTTTGGAAATCCATAATGCCATCTAACCAGTTATCAAAGAATGTTATCAAAGAATGTTAGCTCTATGCAGTTATATTACCCAGCAAGCTAGCGTTAGCTATTTAGCCAACTAGCTATTAGCCGAGCCAGCCTAGCCAACCACCACGGTTATGGTAGGCAAGCCAGAGGCCAACAACTGGAGACCAGCAAGAACACAACTAACAACACAACTAAAACATAACCGCAGATCAACAGCAAAGAGAGAGAAGAGACTTACTGATTGATGGCTGGGGCCAATCCGATGGTAAAACTTTTAAAAGAGTGCAGGCTGAGTTAGCTACCTAAGCGAGGGGCAGGCGGGCGCTTCACTGGGCAAAGGGAGAGTCAGTGAGGGAAATCCAATGGCTAAGAAAAATCCAAAATAGATGGATTCCAGATGTCAGCTAGTGCGCTAGCACTAAGCCAAGGTGGGAAAAGTTAACAAAACAAAAGGAGTACAAACAAGGTACTATACAATTAGAGCAAGCAGGAATGATTTTCTCTTTCGTTTTGAGCCCACGGCAAGAAGGCAGTAGAGCCTGCAGTGCTAACGGGTTCCCACTAGATAACACAGCCACAAGGTCAGGGAAGAGCATATGGATGCTAACATTAGCCAGCTTGAGCTAGCTAACGAGCTAACATACGAACTCGGTAGCACAGAGTAGATTCTCCATATGACATTGAGAAATAGTGCATTGTGGGTAGTTTAGAAGATATCCAGAAATAAGTTGATAAATAAGTAATAACCCAAAAACATAACAATGTTTGTAGTTATAGTTTACCAGATCGTAACTACAACTAAGTTACTAAGTCTTTGACCACACTGTGTTGTTACTTTGGTGAGTAAAAACTCAAGCTTCCTACCCTTTAATGAGAATGTGTTCCAAGTCCACTTCTCTGATAGAATACTGCTGATGTAGCCAGTGACTGGAGAAGAAAGATAAGTGTGTCGTGTTTTGACGTTGTGTTTGTGGTATGTGTGTGTGTCTCAGGGGGAGGATGAGACGGCTTTGCGGCAGTGTTATGAAGGAGTACAGAGAGACAGCGAAGTGATACATGTCAGAGACACAGTGCTGCTGCGCTCCGGTCCGAGGAAGAAGTCCCTGCCCTACGTCGCCAAAATATCGGCGCTCTGGGAGGACCCCAAATCTGGTGAGAGAGAGATAGCAGGATGTCTGAACCTGTTGTTGGGGTATAATAGATGGCTGTGTGTGTGTCCCAGCTAGCACATAACGTTCTGAGAACCATATGTTTCTTAGAGGTTGGTGAGTGCTTGGTTGTCCTATGGTTATTTTGCATATAACCTTCCTGCAACTTTCTGGGAATGGTGCAGGATAGTTGCTTGGCTTTGGAACATTCTCAGCACATTTAAGGAACTTTGCCCCCCAAAAATATATATATATTGGTATTTCATTACTTTAACAGAACGTTTCCTAAAAGTTCAAACATGGTTACATTTAATTTCAATTTTGGTAATGTTCTAGGAACGTTCTCCAACTGGTTTGGCATTGGGAATGTTCTCATAGTTAAGTTAAAACGTTAAGAAACAATGTTCTTCTGTGGGAATATCAGTACTTCAGCATAATGTTTCCTACAGGTTTCCTCGTGGTTGGTTGTATTTAAGGTCATGTTCTCAAGTTGTTCTGAGAACATTAAGAAAACGTTCCATAAAAACAACAAGAAAACTTTAGTAACGTTGTGAGAATGTTCTAAAAATGTTATTTAAAAACATATACATTCCATTCTCAGTATCAACAAAACTCTCTATCTTGTTAAGTGTTCTCAGGTTTGTTGGCCGTGCCCACTAATTGGCCACACCTGATCTTAATGAGTGCTTGTTTCCTTTGAAATTGGGTCTGTTTGAATAGACTAATATGAACAGCTTTGTATGTGTAAAAAAAACATGGCATGTTAGCTCCATCCTGGTGGCATAGTGGACTAATTCCATGGATGGAGAACAGAAGATTATAGGTTTGAATCTCACTGATGCCTTGTCACAATAAAACGTGTTTGTATGATTAATGCCTAAGGAAATTAATTTCCATGTGTCCTATCTGTGCTTGGCGTTGAAAATGTTTAACGCAAAATAAGCTAGCAGTGTTATTAAAAGTCTTATTGAAACATTCAGTGAAAGTTTTAACGAAGTCGTTCAAAAACCTCCAAATAACCTTTAATAAAACCTCCCAGGAAAACTTTCAAGGAACCAGAGTAAAAGTTTCTGGGGTGTGTGTGTTTGTGGTTGTTGTAGGCTGTGAATGGTTGTTTGTGTCTGCTGGCTGTGGTGTTATTTGAGGACCATTGTTTGTCTGAAATGCTGCTTATGTCTGGCTGGTGAGAGACTGCTCGTATTTGTGTGTGTGTGCTGTTGGTTGGCAAAGCTGTACCTTTATTCCTCTGTGGTTGTCTCTGTGTGTGTGTGTGTGTGTGTGTGGTGCGTGCGTGCGCGCCTGTGTGTTTATGCGCGCCTGTGTGTTTTGACCGCGTGTGTGTGTGTGTCTCCTCTGCTCAGGAGAGCTGATGATGAGCCTGTTCTGGTACTATCGACCTGAACACACACAGGGAGGCCGAGACTCCAGCATGCACTGTGAGGTGAGGACAACTCTCTGACTCCACGATAGGACAACTCAACTCAACTATGGCTCAATCTTAGAAGTCTAAAGAGGCGTCTCCTCATCTCCTTTGCTTCATCGCAGTAGTCTGAAGTGGCTTCCTCTCTTCAATCTCATCTCCTTACCTTTGATTGTGTGGTGATTTGATAATTCTATGTCTGTTTCTCACCATTCAGAAAGAGATTTTTGCCTCTCGGCATCAAGACGAGAACAGTGTGGCCTGCATCGAAGAGAGATGCTATGTTCTCCCACTAGCACAATACTGTAGGTAAGAAACCACACAAACACACACTGAGAGAGACCATGTATCCATAATTAACACTGTAGGTGAAACTCCTCGCCGTTTGCTGTTAGCTTTAGTCCAATGCAGAGGGTAAGATGTCTCTCAATTAGCACCACTTGCTATCTAGGCATTCTTTAGCAGGTAATATCACATCACTGACACTAGAAGTGCTCTAAGGGAGAGGCACCTCACTGTAGCATGGTCAATTGACTAGAGGTATAAAGTAAAGGAAAAAAGAGAAGAAAAAATGAAGATTCAAAACTCACTTTAATTTTCCATCTATAGATTTTGTGCCTTAGTGAAGCGGCGTGCGGAGGGTGCGCCACCTGGCTCTGCCAGAGTGGTCCCCTGCCCCTCGGACTTCGACCCCCCCAACCACCGCCAGGTTCCCGCCAACACCGACCCTGAACTGGTGTACCTCTGCCGCCACGTCTACGACTTCCGCTACGGACGCATCCTCAAGAACCTGCAGTAGGGGGCAGCAGAGGACACTCAAACACACCCACACACACCCCTAGTGGAGCAAACACACTCCTACACATGGGGCTGAAGGATGAGAGAGGGAACCCCTGAAGTGTTTTGGGGGGACCCCTGATTGACCCTTGACCCCTGATAGGCACTCGGGTCAACTGGAGGGAGGGAGGCTCAAGGTTCAAGTACTGGAGGGGGACCACTGATATCTGAGTGGGTACCTTAGCCCCCCATACAACTGTACGTAGGGAGCTGAAGTTTTGGCCCCCTCAACTGGAACTATACCGGCTTGGAGAGAAGGGAGAGGTGGATTCTTTCACAGAGATCTGTTCCTCCACATCACTTAAAGAGTTAATGGTCCTGGTTACCATGTCCTGCTATACCATGGGCATCAACAGCCGTGTTGGTGACCTAACAAGAAGAGGAGCTGCGCTACCAGAGTGATACTGGGCTCATCATGTCATTGTTTTGATGTTAGAGCCTGACCTGATGTCAACGTTCTTCTTCTTAATTTGTGTTTGTCTCTGAAGCAGCTGTGATCGAGAGGGCACTTGCAGCTTACACACACACACACACACACACACACTGAGGTTTTTATATCCCTGGCGTGTGTCAGAGTGTGATGTAGTGGGTGTGTGTGTTTTCAGTCTGTGGGCTGCAGTGAAACCACAGGTGCAGGTTCACAAAGGATCGCAGTAACCAGAAAAGTGTTAAACAAATCAAAATAGATTTTAGATTTTAGATTCTTCCAAGTAGCCACCCTTTGCCTTGATGACAGCTTTGCACACTCTTGGCATTCTCTCAACAAGCTTCACCTGGAATGCTTTTCCAACAGTCTTGAAGGAGTTCCCACATATGCTGAGCACTTGTTGGCTGCTTTTCCTTCACTCTGCGGTCCAACTCATCCCAAACCATCTGAATTGGGTTGAGGTCGGGTGATTGTGGAGGCCAGGTCATCTGATGCAGCACTCCATCACTCTCCTTCTTGGTCAAGTAGCCCTTACACAGCCTGGAAGTGTGAAGGGTCATTGTCCTGTTGAAAAACAAATGATAGTCCCACTAAGCGCAAACCAGATGGGATGGCGTATCGCTGCAGAATGCTGTGGTTGCCATGCTGGTTAAGTGTGCCTTGAATTCTAAATAAATCACTGACAGTGTCACCAGAAAAGCACCATCACACCTCCTCCTCCATGCTTCACGGTGTGAACCACACATGCGGAGATCATCCGTTCATCTACTCTGCGTCTCATAAAAACACGACGGTTGGAACCAAAAATCTCACATTTGAACTCATCAGACCAAAGGACAGATTTCCACCGGTCCAATGTCCATTGCTTGTGTTTCTTGACCCAAGCAAGTCTCTTCTTATTATTGGTGTCCTTTAGTAGTGGTTTCTTTGCAGCAATTCGACCATGAAGGCCTGATTCACGCGGTCTCCTCTGAACAGTTGATTTTGAGATGTGTCTGTTACTTGAACTCCGTGAGGCATTTATTTGGGCTGCAATTTCTGAGGCTGGTAACTCTAATGAACTTATCTTCTGCAGCAGAGGTAACTCTGGGTCTTCCTTTCCTGTGGCGGTCTTCATGAGAGCCAGTTTCATCATAGCGCTTGATGGTTTTGACGACTGCACTGAAGATTGACTGACCTTCATGTCTTAAAGTAATGATGGACTGTTGTTTCTCTTTGCTTATTTGAGCTGTTCTTGCCATAATTTGGACTTGGTCTTTTACCAAATAGGGCTATCTTCTGTATACCAACCCTACCTTGTCACAACACAACTGATTGGCTCAAATGCATTAAGAAGGAAAGAAATTCCACAAATTAACTTTTAACAAGGTACACCTGTTAATTGAAATGCATTCCAGGTGACTACCTCATGAAGCTGGTTGAGAGAATGCCAAGAGTGTGCAAAGCTGTCATGAAGGCAAAGGGTGGCTACTTTGAAGAATCTCAAATATAAAATATCTTTTGATTGTTTAACACTTTTTTGGTTACTACATGATTCCATGTGTTATTTCATAGTTTTGATGTCTTCACTATTATTCTACAATGTAGAAAACAGTAAAAATAAAGAAAAACCCTTGAATGAGTAGGTGTCCTAAAACTTTTGACCGGTAGTGCAAAAAATTATTTTAATTTCGGAAATATCTTCCGAAGTATTCCCACGAATAAAAAGAGACGTGATCATTATTATAAATTATTATAATTATGTTCCGGCCCCCGACCATCCGCTTGGACAAAAATCGTCCCGTGGCAAAATCTAGTTGCCTAAGGGAAACACTGAAGTGGAATACTCACCTTCCTCTCTCCTGCTTTGTGAGAACAGAACACAACACTCTAACCTTCAGCTCTAGCAAAGTCTCAAATCATACCCTATTTCCCATATAGTACACTACATAATAGAGAATTGTATAGGGCTTTGGTCATAGACAGGGCACTATATGGAGAATAGGGTAATTTGAGATCCCGCCTACCCCCTTTTTTCTGTTCCTAAATGAGGACTGTCGCTGTGCTTTTGTCGAACGGTCCAATTGAGAGCCCCCTTACTGGAGAGGCTAACACCTTTCCGGCTCTGCATTGGCCTATCAAAAGGAGGGTTGTTGATGATGTCAGTGCCCACCTCTCTGGAGTGTTCAAAAGGGTGAAATGTTCCAGAATGTTCAAATGGAAATGTAAGGTATTGAAGACACCATTGCTTATTATACATGTCTAGCTTAACTTTCTGTAACATTGCACCCTCCTGAACGTGACCCTGTTGTTCCCGATAACTTGCCTTATGACTTGCAGGTAGAGCTTAAGGCAGCTAGTCTCACCCCATAGAAATTGGATGAGTAGAATGGACAAAGTCAAAATCCACAGACAAAATCCACATCCATTTAATCCGGTTCACCCAATATGTGAGACAAAACACAATTTGCCATTGTTGTTTGTGTAGAACACTGAAAATGCTCATGGATTCCGAAGGAAAAGCATCAATTCATTCAACATTCCAACATGGGACATCCAATATGGCCGCTGATCCACATGTAGTGGAACGTTGTCCATTCTACTCATTCTAATTCTATTCCCCGTCCCTTTCCACCCTTTGAAGCTCAGCCCTCCAAGATAAACCAAAGGATGTCAGAAAGCAGAGCACCACCCACCACTCCTTTCCTCCTCCTCCTCCTAGTCTTCTCCTCACTCCTCTTCTCTCGTCTCCTCTTCCCCTCCCTTGTTAGATTGCACTAATCCATTCCTTAATTAGAAAGTCTATGATTGTGTTCTGATTTATGTTCAGCTACTAATATATTATATTATAACGGGAGACAATACTGTGTATTATTACTGTCTGTGTGCTTAGTAGAGAATTGAAACTAAGGCTGTGTCATGGCAACTTTATCAATGCATTACTACTTTATGTGTTTTACTATTAGAAACATCCGCCAGCATACTATCTATGTGTTACTTCAGGGGTGGACTACCTTACTCTTAGCGAGCTACTGGGTATGGAGGCTTTCACTCCAGCTCTGCTCTAACAACTGATTAGTAGAATCAGGTGTGTTAGTTGGAGGAGGGCTGGAGCAAAAGCCTGCACCCCCAGTAGCTCTCCAGGATCACGGTTGGCCCTGGTCTATATGTTATCTGATATCCAACCAACCTGTCATATCCATCTAATGAAATAATATGTACGATGATAAATCATTCCTGTAGATCGTGGATCCACACTGGTGTTATTGGTATTTATCCACACTGTTATTATTGGTATTTATCCACACTGTTATTATTGGTATTTATCCACACTGTCCAGGTGGTGCAGGTATGAGTTGGCATATTGGTGTAACTCGCTGTGCGGAATGATGTAATGTGATGTTTCAGAGGTTTGGGTTGGAATCTCTGAAAAATGTCTTTTTGATACACGTTATTGAGATGTGTTGGTTTTTTAACCACAATCATTCAACATTGCCTTGTAACCTCCTGCAGAAGTGTCTGCCTGTCACGTTTAGTCCTAGACAAACGGCAGTGTCTGACTGAGTTGGTACTATTTAATAGGAAAGAGAACCTTGGATTGCTTTCTTACTGTGAAAATGTTCTATTGCTGGACTTCGCGCCTAATCTGCAAAGTTTTGAATAATACCCAAAAGCCATCTTAAACTTTCTCCATTCTAACAGTTTGAATCATACCCCAAAATAGTGACTAAACAAAGCTTGTATATGAAAAATCATATATAAGTTTAAATTGAAAAATGATCAATAGGCATTTTCTTCCTATTGGTGCTCGGATTGTTAAAAAAAAAAAAAAAAAAAAAAAAAAAATTATATATATTCTCCTACTTTACAATTTCTCCTTATCGAAAATATTTTATGTCAATTTCTTAAGATGGCATATGCAATATATTTTTCAGAGGGACTATTTTTGACAAATGCGTGTGTAAATCGAGGAAGAAAAACATTTTTTAATTTCATTTTAGATTAGTTTTGGATTTTGAATCACAAGTCAGACGTTTAAATTTGACCAAAAACCAGGAAGAACAGAAATAAGAACAAAAATGGGAAGGGTTACGTTTTGGTTCATTTCTGACTATAAGGGTTGGAACAAGATATCTGAGGTCCCTACCTGAGAGAATTTGGTTACATCCTAATTTACAGTCCAGTATTTACCTGGTATTTACTTCGAATTTGCATGGTAAAATAGTCGTTAGTTACCTAATAATTACATTTTAGTTTCTTAGGATTAATTGGAAAGTATAATTTGGTACCAGATAGGTTCCATTTGTTACCACTTAATTTCCTTACGAATACTAGATAAATACCAGCTAAATGAAAACTAGATAAATACCAGCTAAATAGAGTTTTATGAAATATTAAGTGTACATATCTGAATCCTGACCTTGTGGCCCCTGACCCTCTGTACACTAGCAGACAGCCATTGCACAGTGCTGTAGTAGTATTTTTGCCAGACCTATAGCTGGGTCGTTCCAACAATTCGGTGCCTTTTGAGAAGTGTAACTTGGTAAAAACAAAAC